AATATTTAGATCCAATATTAATAGAAAGAAAACATATAGCAATATATCGATATGAGATATCAAATCATATGAAATTATTCAAAATTTTTTAGAATAAATTTATTTTATTTTTTTATTTTAGTTTTTGTGCTCTATGAAAATTTTTTTGGACAAAAATCGTTTTTTGGTCAAATTTATATATAGGAATATGAAGAAAATGACTAGATATAATCAAAATAAAAAAAAACTTTTAATAGCAAAAAATGAAGAATAATGGTATATTTTGATTATTTTAGTTAATTAACTAAATTATCCAAATAATTTCAAATAACCAAAATTATAACCAAATTAAAATTTTGGTTTGAATTGGGTACAAAGGTCTCATCCAAAATTATTTTAGATAATAGAAAATTTGGTACAATTCAGATATTCCAAACTAAATGCCCAACCCTACTTGTTTAACTTTATACGATTATTGTGACATATAAATTAATGGTTTCTTTATGATTTTTCTTATTGTATTCTTTATAGAAAATAAATGTAATTAACACAATTAAAAAATAAATCCATTGATCAATGCATGATAATTTTTTTCAAGAATTACGTACTTTTCTTTATTATTATTATTATTTTGTTATGATTAGAGTATTTCAAAGTTAATTTTTATACACCTTCAAAAACAATCTTAAAGGCATAACTTCTACATTGGTAAAAATAAATTTTGCATGTATTATTTTCATAAGTCTAAGGACAGAGCTAGGTTAGTGACATAGTGAGTAACATAGCGGGTGATACGAAACTTCAGGTGCTCACAATTGAAATTTATCAAAAAAAATAATAAATTAATAGATGGGTGGAGGTTTAGTGGCCAAAAAATTTCGGTACATGACAATTAGTAATGGTGTTAGTTAGATGTTGTGTGAGGGAAGTAACTAGTATAAAATTGAAAGTAGAGGGAGTACAGTAGTATGTTCTGAGAGAGTAGAAGGAGGTCTTTGAATGATTTCCAAGTATAGGGAGGAAAATGAATGAAAAATGAAAGTAGAGGGACTAGAGTTGACTTTAACCCCCAAGAAAAAAAGGCCAAAAGTGGGGTTTTCCACGCGGTTTTTGTCCAGCATGAAAAATAATTGCCAAAGTCATGAAAATGGATGGGATAATGATTGTCCAATCAGCAAAGATGTTAGTGGGATGGAATAAAGATGGAATGTTAATGGGGACCTAAGGAAAGAGACGGAATTATAACTTTTGATAAGCTTATCAGTTAAATTTAAGTTAATCTATTTTAATTTAAATGTAATAAAATTGACCTTATTCAATTAAAAAGTAAAAAAAAATGATTTATTTTATTAAAAAAATATCATATATGCTTTCATTCTAATAAATAATAAAAGTAAAAGGTAAATATATATCCTTTGGCGTTTTCATTGAGAACTAAATTAATTCTTACACGTAACACAAAAAAGTTTTATAAAAAAATTTTAATTTTTTATTATCTCATAATAATATGGTAAATATATTTTTATTTAAAA